TGACTTTAAGAAAAACTTTGCATGTCCTTATGATCTCCAGGTGCCTTCATAATAAAAAATCTTTATATTATAGGTGTAATTATAATATAATATATATTATTATAAGTCCATGGGAGCTAATGCTGCTTTTCAAAAAGGTGAGAGGAGAATTGCCTAAAAGCTAAGACATAGTGGTAAATAATCAGATCATTAGAACAACATTCATTCAGAGTGTGGAATTTCTTTTAAATTGCCTTACTGCAGTTTAGCTCGGTCAGCACATTCATTCTGCGAAATGGCAATTTGACTAGCTGCACTTCTAAATTTAACAGTACTTTTGACTCCAACTATACTTCCATCTCTTGCGTGGCTCATAAAATTCCTTAATGAAGATCTTCATAGAGGGGTGATGTAATGGTGGATGAAACACTTAGAACCTGTCAAGAAGCCATGAGCTTTAAAGAAGTGAGCATTAGGCTTAAATTTATTACAGCTAAAAGAAGCAATTCATTATAAAAACAGGTGGCAAGGAAAAATAAAAAGCTTTTGATCTACTAAATGGACTGGATACATTTCTGCCTTGCAGGTCTAATACTTATATTCCCCTGTCAAATTTTAGTGTTAATCAGAACTGTATAGTGACACAACTGTTTCCTTAGTGATATAAGGTACCTTTTTCGCAATTCACTCAGAAGGATACAAGAGGAAACATTTAAGAGAGAACTCCCAAGGTGTGAGAATGGATCTGCATTGTTCAGATACTCAGTGGTGATCTGAGTGCAAGAGAATGTGCATTCAGAGCTCCACAATGGAAAATTACTGCCTCCTGAGGTTCACTTTAAGTCCCATCTCCTCAGTAAATACGTTGACTATTGTCTGGAGATCTATTTCTTTTAAGGCACATACTGTAGCACCACCAGTGTACTGGAGCTCATGACAGAGGCTGAGCTGTGGGTACAGTTGAAGGCAATAAAAGCTGTACGTCTGTACTGTATGTTTTTCACACAATTGCAGATACATTCCCAGATCTTGAGGGATTCTGTCCCCTTCTTCTTGTAGTGCCTGTTCATTGCTCTCTAAGCCCATGTCGTCCGAGCTCATCCCAAACATGTTCAATGGGGCTCAAGTCTGGCAAAGCACGGCGTGACTGTCACATTTTAATTTTGTAAGAATCCTGTTGTCACACGAGCAACATGAAGACGTGGTGCTGTCCGGCAGGAATGTTACCACTGTAGGATGAGCCCGTAAGAAGGATAGAACAGGTTCCTGTACTTGATCAAAACGTTGGGACTGGGGCTACTTATATCACTACAAGTGGAGTTCTGCAGCGATCTGATACTCCTAGCCAGACCACTGCACCTGGATTACCACTCCATTTAGTCTGTTGTTTAAAACAACCAGCGTATTATTCTGAAAGTCTGCACCTCACTCTCTGACATACATCAGGATGGCCTACATCACTTGAAATATACAGAGTGTCGATCCCTAGTCAAAAGTGTATATGAAAGTGTATGATAATCAGTAAATAAGTCATTGGAGGCTCATTTATCAAATGTTCAGATTGATCATTTTGCATCATATATTATGCATACAATAAAGTGCATATGTTGGAATAAGTAGATATTGCTAATAAGTATCAATTACTCTAGCATCACAATTACACTAGACAGGCTCAAGACAAAAAACATATCTTTACACCCATATATAGAATATTTATTTTGATGTTATTCTGCTTATTCGAAATACAATATATGCACCTAAACATGAACTGCAATTCCTACATTTGCCTTTCAATAACACTTACTTACTAACAATAACTTGTCCTATTAGAATAAACCCAGGAGTAAATATCATATTACCACCTGGCTGCTGGGGCCGATACATCAGACTGTGTTTCACTGAACAGCTCCAACTCACTGTCCTGGTCAGGATCTGGTTAGAGCATTTGCTTGTTTCACTCTTGCAATTATCGACAGACATACAGTATAGGGAATGTCTTACCTAAAGATTAAACAAAACTAAAGCAGAAAGCTATGGATTTCTAATGTATTTTGATCTATCCCACAGTACTGAGCATGAACAATCATCATGAACAATCATAAGGTTTACCACCATTTCTTATTACCGACTTGCTGTTAAACACCAATGTAATATATATTATTGCATTTTGTCCGGCACCCTTGGTGAAACTAATTGTGGCCAACAGAGACCTCTAATAATAGCTTGTGTCCAAGGCCTTTCACATAATACTAGGCCAGGCTATTCAGAGTTGGAACTGACATTAACAGGCCATAATTTTGGAGATAACTCAGAGCACAATGGCAATACCTCACTCATTATTATTGTATTCCAGAAGACAGCTTGTCACTCGGCAACTCTCCCTTTGTGATGCAAATAACAGCTTATTTCTAAATAGCCACTGTAGCGGCACCTATCTACTCATTTCACTATGGCAACAGTAAAGAACATGTATACATTTCTAAGGCATTGGCTCATATTTTAATCAAGGTTAAAATGCCACAGCATTCTTGTTTTACACATTATTGGCTTCATTTTGTTTTCTGTGGAAACCTTATTCAAAATACTTGTTTGATTGACTTACAGCTCAGGCAGGCGATTGTGCAACACTATGCTCTGTAAAAATCACTAGTTTAAACTGGAACAGAGGAACAATCTTAGGGTAATTTTTATACTGTTGCAATCAGGTGGATGCTGCGCATTGGTGGTGGAGGGGAGTCCCCATTACCTATAAAGTGCTTTGAGTGGAGTGTCCAGAAAAGCACTACATAATTGTAAGCAATTATTATTATTATTATTATTATTATTAAATCAATATAAAAACTAAATATCAATTTTCTTATTGTGAGATTTCAAAGTTGAGTCTTAGTATAGACAAATATTTAAGGTCTCCTCTTCAGGTCTCTGTAACTGTACTTTAATACAAACTAGCCTTGTTCTGAGACTGTTCTTCTAAATCAGTTATAACTGATAACATAACTTATAATGCAGCTACAGTATGTCAAAGCCACCTGGACAAGTGAGCTATTCACACAGCACAGTTAGCCACAACTAGAGCAGAAACCTCAAAACGTTTTAAAGCAATGCTGATACACAATATGATAATAGATATGAGGACAGATACTAAGGTACTGCATAGACAAAACACTAACAATGATCAAAATTAAAATTGTCTAAACTAGTAAAACAAGATTGCAGATAGATAACCATGTGTAGCACAAAGTAGCTGATTTTTTAATTAAATTACTAGAGAAAATTAAAAATATAGAATGTCTGTGTACTGTACCTATTACAATCACAACCTGACTCTGCGTCAGATCCTTAATGTCTAATATGTCCTAAGAGCTACATTATTCATGCTGTTATTGTAGCACACCAGCACTGTGGTATGATTACTACAGGAAAACTACTGTAAGGCACTGTGCTTCAAATTCAGAAAGCTCCACACAGTTAAACAGCTCTGCATGTAAACAGCCATATGTTTTTTCCTAAAAATAATTTTAAATGGGTATTTAGTGTTTGCTGTCTTTCGGGTGAGACATTAAACCATATGGTATAAAGCAGTTTGGCAAATTACATGACATGATACACATTTTGTATGTGTAAGTAAAGGTGATGCTATTTAATGGAAATATGCAAAGCAATAAAGATGTGATCCGTTGAATGATGGACGAATCACCCCACCCCTACCAGGTTTGTCAGACAAGCCCACCTATCTAAGGTGCTGTTTAAGGCCAGTGAAACCACAGGTACCCTCTGAGGCTTCTAACAACTGGAGAGGGTCTGGTGTGTGTCACCCAACTGAGCTAAATGAATGGAAGCCAACAGAAGATTGAGAGTAGGATGATCACACATATCAGAAGGATATGCAGCAAGTCTGAATATATGCACTAATATCTGATCTTATTCCAGATGAAGGCATGCCAACAGGAAAAAAAGAACAAAGGAGAAAGAAACTCACAATGAAAGTACAATACAGAATGTTAAAAAAATTGAATAAAAGGTGGGGTAGGGTAGTGTGGATTTACTGAAGGTCTGTGAAATTATAAAAATTATAGGTTTAAATGGCCATACCTGAAAAGACACTGTATACAGAAACTAAAAATCCAAATTTCAAAGTGCTCAAAGGGCAAACAATTGTATTTCCCACTATGGAGCACTTCATCTTTGATTATCTAATATCCTACCGTACATTTGTTCTCCTTAGAGGGGTATCAAGTCATCAAATCACTATTAAACCAAAACTGCAAATACCCTGTGGCATTTATAAACAGGTAATTCAAATGCTTGTTTTTGCATATTTTAATAAGGCAGAAATGAAATCAACCATTGGAAATTATGCCAAATCCATATGTATTACCTTACAAAAGGGACACAAAAACAGCACTGACTCTATTGCAATTTTCTTGACTGAACACCCACTCCCTCCTCCTCTGCTGTGATCTGCTGGCTCTCTGCATGCCTGTGCATTTTAACAGCATATAATGGCCACAGTGTTTCTCCCACCATTTAAACTAGCTGTTTACAGTTTCAAAGTACTCAAACTATTAGTCAATATGCAACCAGAAATTCATCATTTTTCAGATTGCTCAAGTGCATCATGCTTATTTGCACAATTCCTTCACAATAAAGGGGTAAACTGGACTGTGAGATGACTGCATCAGGCAGCTGAGAAAGACTAACTTTGAAAGCTTCTCCTGTAGTTCCCCAAGTGCAGTGAATTTAATTTGAGGGTAACTGCTTAAAACACCCTCTTTCCTTGCTACTCATATATTGTTTTATGTTAGAAGTCAGGAACCATTGAAACCGATTTCTCAGTTGCTGTGATGGCAGTCAATCAAATTTCTAAGGAGGCAAAGGAACTGTATACCCTCATTAATTGTCTCACGCAATTAATAGGAGAAAGGAAAAATAAACAGCACCATTTTTTTAAACCCGCACCTTAATCCTGTCTCAATCAACCATATGTATACAGTATATTAGAGAAAGCAAATTATACTTACATGGCCCATTCTAACTTCTCATTTTTGATTGAGTTGTACAAAGCCTAAAGAAAAGGAGAAAGCAAAACAAGAACATTAACCACCTTTAAACAATATTTCAAGTGCTACTTGTGTAATACCTAATTCTGATTAGCTGAGTGAACCAAAGCAAGCTCGGTCAGCAGCTTGCATACAAATCAAAGATATGACAGTTTAGGACAGGACATTCATGTACTGGATTACTTTCATAAACAATCAGGAGCACACTAATTGTCAGGATGAGAATGTAAAATTTAAAGGAAAAATGTGATGGTACTGCTACAGATACGAAAGAAAGCTGGCATTGCTACAGATATGAAAAAAAGGCAAACATTGAACAGAGATTGTATATTTTTTGGTGAGCCCACAAACTAAACTGCACATTAAACAACAGTATCCATTTCTAAAGGTGACTGACAGGAAGAACTGAAAACTGAACTTTAGTCAAATACACAACTTCTTTTACAGCAAAAAGCTACAGTTTTCTTCATTGCATTAAGAAGAAAATATCCAGAAACCAATAAAACATATGAAACTTGTAGTCTAATGCTATTACAGCTTTTCCACTATAGTTTGTTTTAAAATCTGAGTGTTTGTGACACTTGCCAGATGGTGCCTTCCAACATAAAGAATGAATGTCAATAAGATGCACTGTGCGCTAGTAAAAACACATACTCATTTTCTCAAAGTTTTGTCTTTGCTGTCATGTTCAATGTATTAGAAACTGATAAAACAAGACGTTTTACAGAAATCTGTAGTAGAGCTCCTAAATACAATACAATTACAATTGACTCAAATAATAAAATCAATATCCCCAGCTATAGCAGAAGTTTCCTTTTTCCAAACTTATTTTTCTCTAGTACATGAGCATCTGTTTTAGACCACATATACTGTAACACACAAGGCAAAGCTAACAGATACCATTGTGTAGTCTGCTCCTTTTGTAGCTTTTAGCTTTGCTGGAAACACATTGGGTCTGATCATTCCTGTTGGCAAACTGTAAGCCTTCAACGGGCAAACTGTAAGCCTTCAACTGTTAATTCATAGTAAATTAATTAAACAGGCAATTTTCTCCTAGTCTGTCCAGAGGGAAAATTAAAAGCATTATGTCTATGTCAAAACAGCTCCTATTACTCTGGCTGTGTGTATAAAGGGATACAACTATTATCATGATCCCGGACTAGAAATGAACCTTCATTATGGTCTTCAAACATGAAAAAACGTAGTTGACCTTGTATCAGTGATATCCATCTGGAACACTAATAAGATTTAATTCATAATAATTAATAAGGCCTAAATGAAAGATCAACAGTATGTTATACCCATGTTTATGACTTTTAAAAATTTCAGCAAAGACCAAAGAAGATTTGAAGTTAGAATAAACTGGAATAAGCTGCAAACTGAAAATGTAAACAGAATTATTATTCTCCGTATTCTAAAAGGAACTTTTACTTATCAAGAAAGCAATAAATAAATTATAAAAAAATGTATATAAAAAACATATATTTGTATCTTTACAAAAATAAAGAAATCAGCTTGGTAGTATTAAAATATGTCTTGTAGAATTGTTTTAAAATATACAGTACTACTACAATCACAACATCTTAGCATAAGTTCTAAAATATATAATTTTGATGGCATACCTGTAGACAGATCACAATGTGTAATACATTTCTGAATGACTTATTTCTGGCATAATTAAAGCTGATGGGGAACACAAACTGCTAGTTTAAATCTTATATCTTAAAATATAAAAATCAGAAATAAGCTTCAGATTATATCCTTAAGAAAACATTTCCATGGATTGCCCTAGCCAAAGATTCAATTAATATTAAAAAAAAAACATGACAATCATTTTGGCTTTTGACCTCTTGTTTAGTTTCCATAAGAAATGGTTATTAATTATTGATTTAACTTACTTGTTAAATGCTATATTTGCAAAGCATTTGCAAAAATATATAGATACTTTATTGATCCTGTGAGGGAAATTGCAGTGCAACAGCAGCTTAACACACACAACACAGCCACAGTGTAACGAATGATACAATAATAATAATAATAGTACAATACATACAATACAATCAGTACAGTGAGGGGTGCACTAAAAGAGTTACTCACAGTCCAGACACACAAAGAACTAGAACAGAACAGTACACAGAAAAATCGTATCACACATACAGTATGAATATAAATATAGATGTAAATATAGATATAGATATAAATATAAATGTATTGCTTATACATAAATGTATTGCATGGGTCCCTGGCATATATTGCACAAAAAACAGTTGTAAACAGGAAAAGAAAGAGAACAGATGTAGCAGTAGATGTGTAGATGTGTTCAGTCCAGAAACAGGTCAATGTCAATGTTGCTTCTGCCCAGACGCAAGGTGGATGCGTTGTACAGACTTATGGCAGAAGGCAAGAATGACCTCCTGTAGCGCTCCCTGTCGCACCGTGGATGAATCAGTCTATTGGTGAACGTGCTCTTCATTTCTACAAGCCTGTCGTAGAGGGGATGGGAGATGTTGTCCATGATGGCCTCTAGTTTGGACACCATTCTCCTCTCAGCCACTACCTCCAGGGGGGTCCAGGTCAGACCCAATGACAGAGCTTGCTCTCTTGATGAGCTTGTTCAGCCTTTTAGAATCCACTGCTCTAATCCCAGGGCCCCAGCATACCACTGCGTAGAAAATGGTGCTCACAACCACCGACTGATAGAACATATGTAGCATCTTACTACATACATTGAAGGACCTGAGCCTCCTCAAGAAGTAAAGTCGGCTCTGTCCCTTCTTATAGATGGCCTCGATGTTCTTAGACCATTCTAGTCTATCGTCGATGTGGACTCCCAGGTACTTGTACGAGTCCACCATCTCCACTCCATTCCCATGGATGTAGACAGGAGTAGGTTTGACCTTTTTCCTCCTGAAATCTACCACCAGTTCCTTTGTCTTTGTTATAATCAGTTCCAAGTGGTTCTCCCCACACCACTCCACAAAGCTGCTGACCACTCCTCTGTATTCCTCCTCCTGCCCACCCTTGATACATCCCACAATTGCAGAGTCATCTGAGAACTTCTGCAGGTGGCATGACTTTGAGTTGTACTTAAAGTCCAAAGTATAGAGGGTGAAGAGGAATGAAGAAAGAACTGTCCCAAGAGGAGCCCCTGTGTTACTCACTACCTGTTCAGACACATAGTTCTGAAGTCTCACAACTGTGGTCTGCCTGTCAGGTAGTCAGTGATCCACGAGGTCATGGAAGCATCGACTTGCATCTCCTCCAGCTTCCTCCTTAGTAGTAAGGGCTGTATGGTATTGAAGGGACTGGAGAAGTTGAAAAACATGATCCTTACAGTGTTGCCAGCCCTGTCCAGTGGCCAGTGGTATTAACTGGTTTTAACAATAAAATAATCGGGCTATGATACAGTTTCTCACAAGAAGCTGAAATAATTGTAATATTATTATTGTATCTATTCTATCATGTTTCTATGCCTGTACCAAGATTCAAGGTTACAGAAACCAAAAACTATATGAATGCAAGGAAACCTACTGTAGATTCTAATTTTACCCTTTTATCTGCACACAACGGTGCAATGTTTTTGTCCATTTTGAAGGTACCTTTTATAATTATATCTTGCTTTGTGTGAGTATATACTGGAGATAATATGTTTCAATATCTTGCTTGGTTGCTTTGTCTTAATGAAGACAGCCTTCCATCTAACACACTGCTGTTGCTTTGCAAATAGTAATAAAATACTCTTTTTAAATTAATAATCTTAAATCTAGTCATAATTGTGCTTCCTCACTACAGTTATTGGTAAAACTTAAATTACGGGTCAGTAAACAACAACTATAAATGCATACTGTAACAAACACTTTTCTTTTAATACTGCTAACTTTAATACTACTAACATTAACTGTTAACAATGGACAGTAGTAGTGCTTGGTCTATATCAGGTTATTAACACTTTATAAATGTTTTATTATTTTTTATATAATAGCATTACGAAGGTAAGAATTACATGAGTAGGCCATTTGGGGTGTCTGGCTTGTTTCTTGCGTGTTTCAGACACTGCATTCCTTACATAGGTTGCACAAAATACCACACCAAATCTCCGGTCACAACACAAGTATTACCTGATTGTTAAATACCTGATCACAACCCAGAACATCTAAATGGTTCATGATGCATGGCAAAGAATGCAAATTAAATAAAAAAATTACACAATATTCACTTCATTCACATTAGAATAATTACATAATTCAATAGAGTATATGTGAAAATAGGATCAATGACACCATAGGGTGCACATATTCTTTTAAATACTTCTCTGACCAATAGAGCTTCACATATCATGTATTCAAATAACCCAACAGAATTGCTGTAAGGCTAAAGGTTATATATCTCAGAAGATATTGTCTATTTAAAGTAAAATACCATTAAAGACCACATCTATATTAAAACGTAAACATACACAGAGACAAACTTATTTTCTCAAAGGGTCCACACTCTGATCTGAAAAAAATCTTAATAATTACTACTAGTATGTTTCATCTTTATGAAATTATCTAACAAAAAATATAAAACAAGTGTTTGATATGGCAGTCACTGTTAAATGGATTGAAACTGGCAATATGGTAATCCCCCATCATACAATTCGTTCCTCAAAAACTTCTTGTTAGGTGAAAACTCGTACCGCGGAAATTTAATTCCCATTACTTTCCGTGTTATAATCTCAAATTGGTCCTCAAAAATCTTCCCTCCATCACTCAAATAATATCTTAATACAGCATGGAATGGTACCTACTGGAAGCATGAAAAAAATAACTTTCTTAGTTAATTATTCAAGTAACATGCTTAAAGTCATTAGCCAATGCCTAAAAAAAATAGAAAACCAATAAAAATCCTGCTCAATTACGGTACATTACAGTAGTTGCATCATTACAGTGATAAGCAAATACATAAAAATTAGTTACCATCCTGTATTACTGTACATGCACATATTGTAACACACAAAAAAGCT